GCAGTCGCACGCCATTCTGACTGAAAGGCACCCCGGGCGGCAGCTCCCCTTCGTCCGTAATCTGGGACTTATTCCACGCCGCGCACTTAGCCGGGTTATGCTCTAAACCTAAGTTGGCTAGCTGGCTCGTGAAATGGTTGAAAGCTGCTACTGTTTCCGCTCTGTCACCTAGGAAACTGACATCGTCTGCGTATGCGAGACACAAAACGTCGGGGTGGGCTGCTGCTGTTGCTCGTAGTGCAGGGTGGATACCGGCTGCAAAGAGGAGCGGGCCTAAGGGGTCCCCTTAACGTACCCCGCGTGCACTACTTAGTGGGGCGCTTTCAAAGCCTGCATCAAGGTAAAGGAGCGACGGTTGCCCGTAGGTTAGCTTGACTAGAGGGAGCAGTGGCGAGAGGGCCGGGTCCTGTAGGGCGGTTACTATTGCTTGTCGTGAGATGCTGTTAAATGCGTTGGATAGGTCCGTTTGCAGGATCAGTGAATCTGGCCGTGCATCAGTGAACGCCCGCGCTATGTGTATGATCGTTTCAGCTCCACCCGGCAAGGCTACCCCATACTGCAGCGGCAGAAAAGAAACTCCGTGCTGCTTCTCCCATGACCGTCAGAGCAGCCTTTGCTACTAGTAGAGTGAGGCACTCGCCAATTGCTATGGGGCGAGTACCGCCTTCAGGCTTGGCAAGTGCTACCAGGCGCGATGACGTGAGTAATTCTGGTACAGGCTGGGGCAATTTTCCCCCCAGCAGGGTGTTGATCAGGGCGTGCAAATGGGTGCAGACAGATGCATTTGTAACTGCCGCGTCGCGCAGATGCTCGAAAGTGGTGCCAGACGGACGTGCCCCCACGCCATTCTCGCAGCGACTCAGCAACTTGGCGAAATCAGCGGGTGAAATTGTGAGGCTGGGCGGATTGTCATTGGCTGGCCATGCCAGAGGCTCGCTGTCAGCTGGCGGGTGTTTTCGGCACAGCTCGGTCAGAATCTGTTGGCTGGGCGTGCATACTGGCGTTGACTCAAAGGCCAGTACGGCCCGTCGTAAACTTCCGCGCTTTGCCAGACCTTCTGCTTTGCTGATGACCCCGGTCTCGTCAGGTTGGTGACGTGGTGGTGGGGGGGTGTTGACAGCCTGGGTGGCGTCAATGTAGAGTTGCTCCCATTCGCCACGCTGGAACTGACGAAGCCGAGCCTTTATTTTTAGCCAGTCAGGGCGCTTCGGCGAAGGTTGGCGAAGGGTTAGACGCGGGAGGAATAACAGAAGGCACCACCCAGCGACGGAGTTTGGGTTTCGCGAGAGGTGCAGGAGTGGGGTCAGCAAGGCCAGCGAAAATAGCTGGCACAGATTTGGTGGGAGGCGGCGTGACAGCGGAAGTTGGCGACTGTCGCAAAGTGGCGTGACATCCCAATTTGCGACACGTGCGAATCTGTCGAGGTGTGTTGCCAGTTCGTCTGGCGAGAAGTATCGGGGGTTGTGTGGCTGAGTTGGCACGTTGGTTTGGCGATGCGCGGCTCGATTTGTCTGGGCGCGGCTCGATGTTGCTTGGGTCGGCAAGGTTGGATTCCCAACCGTACGATCGCCATCCTGCGGTTCACCCTCGTTCCGTTGCCCAGCTACCCCAGGACGCCTTGGCACTTCGTTCCCTCGTCCTTCTCTCTCCCTCTCCTCTTCTCCTCCTTCGCCATCGCTGCTATCGTGATGTATCCCCTGCTCCTCCCTATAAGAGGGGTCCGCCCTTTCCTCTTGCTCATTAGTCTCATCTTGGCCAGTTAAAGCTACTCCGCCAGCTGCTTCCCGCGCGTTCTCCAAGTCCGCGTTCGCGACTAGTAGTGTTAGAGCGATTCGCCCCGCCGCCTGAAACGCGTTTTCGGGTCCTCCTCCTTCGCCGTGCCCTCCTCGTTGTCCCGTGCCCCGTCGCCTTCCTTCTCGCGATGGTGATTGCTGGTGGGCTCGAGCTGTCGCCAGGGCACGCTGTCGTTGCGTCAGTGGTGCGCGAAAAGTCACCGCCGGTGACTGCATCGGCAAACGCCGCGACGAAGCCGCCAATGCCGCCTGCCCCAAAAGCCGCGTCATCGCCAACTGCTGAGCCTGCGGCAGCCCATCCAGATCCTCCGTCTGCTGAGGCTCCTCCGGCTGCCGTGGTCGCTCCTCTAGCTCCCGTTTGCCAGGAGCCTGAGCAAGTGGCGCCTGCTGCGGTTGTTGTGCCACTGTTCCTGCCGCCCCTTTGAACGCCGCTGCCCCTGCCGCTCTTGGCGGCGACTTGGTGCTAGCGGCGGTGTCCGCCACCACTGGCGGCCCGGCCCCGGCGGTGGTGCCTGCCGAGGCTGTTCAGTCGGCGCCTGCAGTGCCTCCGTTGGCGACACCTGGGCAGCCGTGTCGTCCGCAGTCTCCTGATCGCCGCCCATCACGACCCCATTCGCCCGCCCCACGCGATGAGCGGGAGTCCTCGCGGCGTCGGCAGGAGTCTCCTCAGCGCCGCTCATCGGGCGAGAACTGGCACGCGCGACGGGGTGGGCGTGGGGGCTGGAGGGGAGGGTACGGTCGCGGACGTGGCGGCGCGTTTGATGGGCCGGTGACGATGGCGGACTTGCAGTGGGTTGTAACAGCTGCGATGCGGGAGGAGAGGGCCCTGCAGGCGAACCAGCAGCTCCCTCGTGCAATGGGCAGCCGTAGGTCTCCACCGCGAGAGGGAAGAAGCCCACTGTCTCTGGCAGGTTTTCATAGTGCTTGATCTTCTTGTCTGCCTGCTCCGGGCTGCCCATCCCCTGCCTTTCCGTGCCTCCGGGTCCCTGGTACTAATAGGGTCTGTGATCGTCACATCACACACCCAAACCATACCACTGCTTCTGTCCGTCATGGTAAAATCTGCTGTCTGCTCCTCTATGGGGCAGTAGACGTTTGTTTCCCTGTGTACTATGAACCCCGCGTCTTGCGCCATGCTGATGCATGCGTCGCGGAGTTCGTTATGAGTATTCGTACGGTGCTTCCCCGTGCCGCAGTGGAAGAGGTGGTTGGGGAGGCGCGGGTCTGTGATGGCGATGTGTTCTGCACAATCACAATTCTTCGGAGTAGAGAAAGGGAGGCCCAACCGGAAGCGCACGGCGTTGCTGAAGTGTACCGGGCCGATGCGCCGTGAGGAAGCTACCGGTACCGCCGTCAGCCAGTCCCCTGTGCCGTAGCCTGTGAGTGAGAACATTCTCTGTGTGTGCCCGGAGAGTGGATTCAGTCTCATTCGCCTCGTCTCTTGGACCGGTACCGCGTACCTACTCCCCTGTACTTTGAGGGCCAGCGTGTGCTGGAGCTTGATGTTCGACCGAGAGAGCCGCTCCTAATCAACTACGTCGCGTGCGTCTGAGGGCAGGGCTGTCTCGCACTCTGTGAGCCAGGAATGAAGCGGTGTGGTGACGTCCCGGGGCAGAATCATGTGGCTGTGTGCTCGGGTCAGTGCTGTATCTAGTGTTAGCGTCAGGGAGGAAAAGAAGAGTGCGGCCTGCGTGAAGCTGGCTACGAAGCCGTAGACGCCTTCTATGAGTGGGTCCGTGATTCTTAACACCACGCAGCAGTCTCTTGAGTCAACAAAGGCACGTGCGACATGGATGTTTGCCTCAGCTCCCCCTAGTACCGCCACCCCGTACTGTAGTGGCAAGAAGTGGTCACGTGCAGCTTCCCCAATTGCGGTCAGAGCTGCCTTGGCCGCGAGGCGCGTCAGGCATTCGCCAATTGCAATTGGCCGAACCCCCCCACCTGGCTTGGACAGCGCGATTAGGCGTGACGCTGTCAGCAGGTCTGCCACTGGCTCGGGTAATTTGCCTGTCAGGATGGTGTTGACTAGGGCATGCAGATGGGTGCAGACCGATGCGTTGGTTGCAGATGCGTTGCGCAGGTGTTCGAATGCGGTTCCGGACGGTCCAGTCCCCACCCCATTTTCGCACTGACCCAGAAGTTTGGAGAAATCGGCTTGGCTGATTTGCAGGTTCGGGCCAGGTGTTGTTGGCCAGCTCAGCTGCTCGTTGACGGCTCGCGGGTGTTTCGCGCGAAGTTCATCCAAGATTGCTGGGCCCGGCGTGCAGACTGGGGTTGACTCGAGGGCCAGCACGGCTCGGCGTAGACTTCCACGCTTGGCCAGGCCCTCCGCCCTGCTGAGTACTCCCGCCTCGTCAGGCTGGTGACGTGGAGGCGGTGGGGTGTTGATGGCTTCTATTGCGTCAGAATACAGCTGCCCCCATTCGCCACGCTGGAAAGCTCTGAGACGGGCTTTGACTTCGGGCCACTTTGGTCTTCTTGGCGACATTTGGCGAAGTGTGAGCCGAGGGAGAAACAGCAGCAGTCGCCACCCTGCGACCGAGTCCGGATTTCGCGCGAGGTGAAGGAGCGGGGTGAGTAACACCAGTGAAAACAGCTGACACAAATTGGGCGGTAATCGGCGCGACAGGGATGGCTGACGACTGTCGCATAGGGCCGCCAAGTCCCAATCAGGGATGGCTGCGAACAGGTCTGTTCGCTTCGCCAATTCCTCTGGCGAGAAGTATTGGGGGAAATGTGTTTGATTTGCTGATGCGCTGCCAGAGCGCGCGGTTTGATTCCTCTGCGCGCGCCTCGGTGTATCGCCTTGTCCGTGAGTTGGAATCGTAGCCGTCCGATTCGCTTGTTGCACTCCTCCTACCTCGCCCGTCTCATGCTGAGCAGCTTGCCTCCCAGGCCTTAGCCTCCCAGCCTCATCAATTTCTTCCTCGTCATCTTCACTTAGTGGGAGCGGCTCCTCCCTATAAGAAGGATCCCCTTGATCCTCCTCCTCATTAGCCCTTTCCAGAGCTGTTAAAGCCTGTCGCCCTGCCGCTTGGAAGCCATTCTCCGGTCCACCTCCTTCGCCGCTAGCTGTCACTCTCCCTCTGCCTCGCCCTCCTCGGCCCCTCGATGGTGATTGCTGGGCCGACCGATTATTCGCCAATGCGCGCTGGCGCTGCGTCGGTTGCGTACGAAAGGCCACCGCCTGCCTCCGGAACGGGGACCATGTCGACGGGCTCCCCGACGCTGCCTACTCCGAAGCCCGTGACAGAAGACGCTGAAATCCTTCCTCGCCCCGCACCGTCGTTTCGCGAGGCCCTGGCATCTCTGCCTGGCGACGGTAGTCGACAGGCTCCCGTGCTGTCTGCACCTCGTCCCGTCGCGCCGCCTGTCCCTCTCGCTGCGACGTCTGATGTGTCTGCTCCGCCTGGCGCTCTTCAAGCTGCCGACCCCGCCGCTCCGTCTGCGGCCGCCGAGCGGGCGGTTGTTGCTGGCGGCGTGACGGCCCAGTCGGTGGGGTCCGCCACCACTGACGTCCAAGGCCAGCCGGCGCTTCCCGCCTCTCCGGCTCCCCCGTCTGCACCGCCTCCGACGCTGGCGCCTCCTCCGCCTGTGCAGGCGGATCTGCTCCTGCACTGCCCATGGCTGTACCTCCCGCACCTCCTGTGATTGCGTCCCCTGCACCGTCCGTGGGTGCTCCTCTCGCGCCGCCTGAAGTTGCTCCTGTTGCTCAGCCTGATGTTGCACCGCCAGCTCCGCACGTGGCGGGTCCGTCTGCGCCGCCTGTGGCCGTTCCCGTTGCGCCGCTGGTGGCAAATCCCTCTGCGCCGTCCGCTCCGTGTCCGCAGTCTCCTGGCCATCGTCAGCAGAGGCCCCAATCCCCCGCGCGGCAGGACGAGCGCGAGACGTCCCGGCGCCGCCACAATTCCCCGCGTCGCCGCGGTTCCCAGGCGAACTGGGCAGCGCAACGTGGTGGCCGAGGCGGCTGGTGGGGGCCGCGTCAGCGTGGTGGCGGCTGGGGGTATGATCAGCCGGTGACGATGGCTGACCTGCAGCGCGCGGTATCTGCTGCTGTGCGCGAGGAGCGGAACGGGCAGGCGAGCCAGAGCAACTCCCCGCGTGTTGCTCAGACCCCCGTGGCACCCCCTCCAACTGCACCTCCTGCCCAGGCTGCCCCTCGTCCTCCTGCGATTGCTCCTCCTCCTCATGTTCCCGCCGCTTCAACCCCTGTCCCGGGGAATCACCGCCAGGTGCCGTGGGTCCCCCCTGTGGCGGGGGTCGAGTTTTTGACCGCGGCTGGTGGGCCCGTGACTGCGCAATATCCGTCCCTGCTGTCTGTTGATCCCCCTCCCCCGTCCGCAGGTGCGGCGCACTCGTTCTCGGCCCTGCTGGGGCCTCAGCGTCCGGTCGCGGTTCCGGAGGTGACCCTTGGTCAGATCTGGCGCCTCTCGGAGGCTCTGCGGGTCGTGCATCTGGTGCATGTGTATGGTCATGCCGCCTTGTCCCAGGGCGACTCACTGGTGGGCGGCCCTCGGGATGATTGTTTCGCGGCAGCTGATCGCCTCGCCGAGCTGCTAGCGCCCGTGTTGGCTGCGCCCGCGCCGGGTGGGCTTGCGGGGGTCGGGCCCCTTGGTTCGGCCGTACGTGGGCTGCGGCGGTTGTTGCATGCAGGGACTGGATCCGGGGCGATCGCCGCAGGCACGGTGTTGGTGCGTGAGCTGCATCGCACGCTGTCGGGGCTGCTTGCTGTGTTTGACGTGGATCAGATGTAGCGTCCGCGTGCCCTAGGAGCTCACCGCTTGTGGATGCGGGCTCCTCTTGCTCCATGCTTCACCTACCCCTGGGTTAGAAGGAATGAACCCGCAGCTGAATAATGAGGCCTAGGCGGAAACCTAGGCCTAGGCGGAAACCTAGGGCTATTCCGAACTGCCCCGGCGAGAAGGTGAGATCCCCCCGCGTGGGGATGGCGTGCAGCCAGTCCCCCGCCCCCACCCCCTGCAGGCTGAGCAGCCTAACTACGTGCCCGTTGTCCTCCCCTGGTCTGTCCATCCTTGTGTCGCCAACCAGTTCCGCCGCCCGGTGTAGATTAATCTGCTGTGACAGTTGCTCCTGTAGGCGGCCCTTTCAGCCTGCGTTGTCCCCTGGATCCCTCAGGATCTCCCGCGCTGTCTCCGGCAGCCTGGCCCGCAGATCACGGATCAGCGCTCCCCCCTCCCCCGCCCCCCCCGCACCTGTGGGCGACACCAGTTCCGCCACCTGCTGCAGGTGGTGGTTCGGTGATGGCGGCATCTGTTGCAGCAGTGTCTGTGCCGCCTTCAGGGACGAGAGGTATGCCGCTGGTGCTTCCGACAATGGGTCGATCAACCCTACCCCCCCTAACGCAATGGGCAACGTTGCCTGCCTCCACACCAGGCTCTGATCCAGTTCTTTGCTCGGCACGTTGATGCTGGCTGCCCTCAGCGCCGTCCACAGGAGCCTCTCGCTCCAGCTCCGCCATTCTCCGAGGGGTAATACGTCCGCGGGTGTCGTCCGCAGCAGGTAGGAGATTTTCCGGGATATGCATCTCGATAGCAGCAGCATCGCGTGTTGCGGGTGTAGTTTGCTCACCAGCCGCAGCGGGAGTGCAATCCCTTCCAGCGCCTCCCTGAGTGAGCGTCTGCAGTAGGCCGTCGTGCCGATGGGGCTCCCTAGGACTTTCACGCCGTCTACCGCCGCCGCCAACCCTTCGGGCAGTTCGCCTGGGCAGCCCGCAGGGCTCCACGCTGACGATTTGGCGAGGTTGCAACGCAGACCTAGGCCGCGTAGCGCTTCGCTGATCATGGTGAACGCCCTCGCCGCCGCCGCGGGTTGCCCGATGATGGTGATGTCATCCGCGTACGCCAGTACCGTGACGTCCGGGACCGCCGTAGCCGCCGCCAGCAGGGCCGGTTGTATCGCTAAGGCGAAGAGCATGGGTCCAAGCGGATCCCCTTGCCGAACGCCTCGAGCGCTGTGGATGGATCTGACGTTGAAACCCTTGTCCAGTAGCAGCGGTGATGGCGCGTCGTATAACGTCCGTGCGAAGGGGAGCAACGATATCATCCCGGTCCATCGGAGCGTAGAGAGGAAATGGGACCGTTCGACGGAGTTGAACGCGTTCTCGACATCCAGCTGTAGGATCGCTCTTGTCTTATCCTCTTCCAATAGCGCCCTCGCCGTGTGTACGATGCACTCGGCCCCTCCTGGTACCGACACTCCGTATTGCACCGGCAAAAAGTAGGAGCGGATCTCGCGTGATAGTTCACGTAGTGCTGCTTTCGCTGTGATCCTCAACAGTGCTTCACCGATTGCGATAGGTCTAACGCCGCCGTCCGGTTTTCCTAGCGCTATGAGCCTCGAGGGCAGGAGCAGCTCTTTCACCGCTTCTCCCTGGTACGTGCCGAGGAGAATATTCACTACTTGGTGCAGCAGCACGAGAACTTCCCCGTTCGTTAGAGCTGGGTCACGCAGGTGCTCGAAACACATGCCTGAAGGGCCTGCCCCTATCCCGTTCGGGCACTTCGCAATTACTTCGCGGAACGAATCCAGCCCTATCGCGAGTGCTGTATCTCTGTAACCGTCCAGCCCCTCTGGGATTGCAGCCTCCGCTTGTGGGTGTTTTGCTCGCAGTGCCTCCAGTGCTGTTTGCGAAGGCTCTGCCAGTGGCGATGTCTGTAACGCCGCGGATGCCTTCGCTAGATTTGCTTTTCGGACCAGCCCTTCCACGCGGGCACAGATGCCCTCTGCGTCAGGCTCGTGTCTGCCTGGTTGCGAATTTGCAGGGTAGGCGCAGGCCTGCAGGTACAGTGGTCCCCAGTTTTCTTCTCGAAACTGTCGAAGCCGTTTCTCCACCTCCGCTAGGTTTTTGCCCGGTAGTTTCTCTGTTCCAACCCTCAAGCACAGCCTCGGCAGGAATAGCAGAATCCGCCATGCTCCAACGCAGCCTGGAACCTTCGCCAGTCGGAGCAAGGGAATCGTGAGGCAGTGGCTGAAGGCCTTTAGGATCTCGGGCAGAAGCTTCCTCACAAGGAAGGGTTGCGCGCTGGCACGAAGTGGGTCGAGGTCCTAGTCCTCGACTGTCCGCCACGCGTCATCGTCCCCTGCGATGACACTGGGTGATCGTTCCTTGCTGGCAGCATCGTTGCCTTGGGGAGCAGGTGATTCGCCCACCTGTGTGTTAGCGACTGCATCCCCCCGCCAAAAACTGCATCCCCCTCTCTCTCTCTCTCTCTCTCTCTCTCTCTCTCTCTCTCTCTCTCTCTCTCTCTCTCTCTCTCTAATGGTCCGTATATTGATATGGCCGAAAGGTACACACGTACAGGTTCAGTAAGCATGCAAGTCCCAGCCTATCCCATCTACAGTTCCACAAGTGGCTCCAAAACAGCAAAGCAATCCACTAGGTGTAGTTCTTGGCCGATACCCCCGACCGGGGGGTTCTCAGCGGCTGCCGCCTCACCCAACTTCATGAGCAACCCCACTGACTGTACTCTCTGAAGTGCAACCGACCACCGCTGCCTGAACTGATGCAGAAACTTAGCGGCATAGTAGGAGTTAGAATCGGCGTTGAAGTGGCGCCGAGCCGCCGTGTCTGCCAGGAGTTTCAGGAAGGCGGGGACCTCTGCACAAGGGCAGCCATAGGTCTCCACCGCCAACGGGAAGAAACCAACCGTCTCAGGTCTACTTGCATAGTGCTGGATCTTTTTGTCTGCCTGCTCTCTGGCCACCCATCCCCTTCCTTTCTGTGCCTCCGGGTCCCGCGTGCTGATAGGGTCAGTCACAGTCACATCACACACCCATACTGCCCCGCTGCTCCTGTCGGTCATGGTGAAGTCGGCCGTCTGCTCCTCGATGGGACAATGGGCCGCCGACTCACTGTGGACTATGAATCCCGCATCCTGGGCCATGCTGATGCAAGCATCACGGACCTCGTTATGAGTGTTGATGCGGTGCTTGCCGGTGCCGCAGCGTAGGAGGTGATTTGGGAGGCGGGGGTCGGTGATCGCTGTGTGGTCCGCGCAGTCACAGTTTTTGGGAGTGGAGAAGGGCAAGCCGAGCCGGAATCTGACGGCGTTGGCGAAGTGGACCGGTCCAATGCGCCTGTTCGGGGCTATTGGTATCGCCGTCAACCAATCCCCAGTGCCGTATCCCGTCAAGGAAAACATCCGCTGCGTGTGGCCTGCAAGCGGATTCAGCGGCATCTTCCTCGTCTCCTGAACCTGCACCGCGTAGCGACTGCCGTGGACTTGGAGGGCGAGGGCGTGCTGCAGCTTCACATCCGTCCGTTTCAGTCGCTCTCGTTCCAACAGTTCACGCGCGTCTGAAGGCAGGGTGGTCTCGCACTCAGTGAGCCAGGAGTGGAGTGGAGTGCTCTCGTCTCTCGGCTGGAGCATATGGCCGAATGCGTGCGACAGGGCAGAATCCGGGGATAGAGTGAGCGTGGAGAAGAGCTGCGCCGCCTGCGTGAAACTTGCGACGAATCCGTATAACGCCCTCGATGAGAGGGTCTGTAATCCCTACACCCCCAAGAGACGGAGGAAGGGTCGCCTGAGCCCACACGCGCGACTGTTCCGCTCTACCCGCTGGAGCTCGGATATTGCACGAGGTAAGCAATGTCATCAAAAGATCGCGGCCCCACTGCGTCCAAGTGTCCCGGGATACGAGATTGAGGGGGGTCGTCCGTGTGAGGTACGCCACGCGCCGGGAGATGCAGCGCGTGATCAGCAGCGAAGCGACCTGCGGATCTGCCCGCTCGATGAGTGGCAAGGGCTTGGCCATCTCCCCCAATTGCCCAGTCAGGAAAGCAGATGCCCCGTCTTTGCAGAAAGGGACCTCTGGCGGCAGCTCAGTTGAGTCGCACGTGCGTGCGCTCCATGCCGTGCACTTCTGCGGGTTGTGCTTCAGGCCCAGGAATTTCAGCTTTGAGGTGAAGTGGATGAAGGCAGCTACAGTTGCACGTTTCCCCCACAAAGGTCACATCGTCCGCATACGCCAAACAAAGCACATCAGGGTGCGCTGCTGCAGTGTCGCGAAGTGTGGGGTGAATCCCCGCCGCGAAAAGGAGAGGGCCCAGTGGATCGCCCTGGCGAACGCCTCGTTCACTTTGCAAGGGGTCGCTTGTAAAGTTTGCATCCAGATGCAGCTGCGACGGGTTACCGTAAGTCAGCTTGACCAACGGTAGCAGTGGCGAAAGGCTGGGTTCTTGTAACGCAACGGCGATAGCCTGTCGCGAAATACTGTTGAAAGCATTCGCGATGTCGGCTTGCAGTACCAGGCTGTTCGGGTGGCCATCCACGTACGTTCGGGCGGCATGAATTATTGCTTTTGCTCCACCTGGCACTGCCACGCCGTACTGTAGGGGATGGAAGTATTCACGTGCAGCGTCCCCCATGACCAAGAGCGCAGCCTTGGCAGCCAGCCGCGTCAGGCATTCGCCTATTGCGATTGGTCGGGCCCCGCCCCCAGGTTTGGCCAGGGCTATGAGTCGAGACGCTGTGAGCAGGTCCGCCACCGAATCTGGGAGATTTCCCCCCAGAATTGTATTAACCAAGGCGTGCAGATGAGTCTGACGGATGCATTGGTTATTGCAGCATCGCGCAGGTGCTCAAATGTTGTACCCGAAGGTCCGGCACCGACACCATTCTCGCATCGCCCGAGGAGCTTCGCAAATTCCGCGTGGGAAATGCCCAGGGGCTGAGTGTCGGCTGCTTGCCAGGTCAGCGGTTCATCCCCCGCTGGTGGATGCTTTTGTCGGAGTTCGTCCAGGATTTCTGGACTCGGTGTACAGACGGGTGTTGACTCGAGCGCCAGCACGGCTCGGCGCAGACTGCCACGTTTCGCCAACCCCTCGGCTCTGCTCAGTACACCTATCACATCGGGTCGGTGGCATGGGGGCGGAGGGGCGTTGACCGCGTTTACCGCATCCTGGTAGAGCTGCGACCACTCGCCACGCTGGAAAGCCCGAAGACGGGCCTTGATTTGCGGCCAATTTGGGTGTTTTGGCGAAGCCTGGCGAAGGGTCAGACGCGGGAGGAAAAGAAGCAGTTTCCAACCCGCTTCGGAATCAGGGTTTCGCGAGAGGTGGTGTAGCGGGGTCAGGAGTGCCAGCGAAAATAACTGGCACAGGTTTGGCGGTAATCGTCTCGACAGCGGCGGTTGGCGACTGTCGCAGAGGGCGGAAATGTCCCAATTCGCGATGTCAGCGGATTTGTCCCCCATCTCCGCCAGCTCCACTGGCGAAAAATAGCGGGGGCGCTGCGGGGTCGATCCTGACACAGGGTGGAGGGATGCGGTCCGATGTCTGCGTGCACGACTAGATGTCGTTGATTGCTGCCGAGTTGGATTCTCATCCGTTCGATCAGCATCCAATGGCCCTGCACGCCCCTCTGTTCCCGCTGTGGGTAAATTGGCTGTCCCAGGTCTTCTCCTCTCCGTCCCTACTCTCGTTGCCTCTGCTCCATCCCCTTCATCTTCATTTTCACTCTCTGGCTCCGCTTCCGCGATATAAGAGGGGTCATTTCTCTCCCCTTCTTCATTGGCAGCTACTAGAGCAATTATAGCCCGACGTCCCGCAGCCTGAAACCCGTTCTCCGGCCCTCCGCCTGTTCCGCTAACCGCCTGCCTCCTCTCTTCCCGTGCTGCCCGACCTCGCGATGGTGATTGCTGGAGCTCCCGAGCCGTCGCCAGAGCGCGTTGCCGCCTGGTCGGCAGTGGTCGCCAAGCCTCAGTCTGAGCCCAGAAAGGCGACCACGGCGACGAAGCCCCCGGTGCCTCCGGCTCCGAAGCCCTCGACAACATCCGTTGAAAAGCCTCCGCAAAACAGTCCCATGGGTGAAGCTCCTGACCGATTCCTCCTACAGGCGGGTTCTCTGCTGCTGCCGCCTCGCCCAACTTGAGAAGGAGACCCACCGATTGGGCCCTCTGAAGGGCCACTGACCAGCGCTGCCGGAATAAGTGCATAAACTTGGCGGCATAAAAGGATTTAGAGGCGGCGTTGAAGTGCCGCCGAGCCGCTGTATCTGCGAGTAGCTTTAGGAAGACCGGGACTTCCGCGCACGGGCAGCCATAGGTGTCCACCGCCAGTGGAAAAACCCCACTGTCTCTGGCCAGTTGGCATAGTGCTTGATTTTCTTATCCGCTTGTTCCCGAGCCGCCCAGCCCCTGCCCTTCTCGGCCGCTCGGTCCCTCGTACTAATGGGATATGTGATGGTAACGTCGCACACGTAAATCGCCCCACTGCTTCTATCTGTCATGGTGAAGTCGGCGGTTTGTGCCTCGATGGGGCAGTAGACCGCCGACTCGCTGTGAACAATGAAACATGCGTGCTATGCCATGCTAATGCACGCATCCCGCAGCTCGTTGTGGGTATTAATGCGGTGCTTGCCCGTGCCGCAGCGGAGGAGATGGTTCGGGAGGCGGGGATCTATGATAGCTACCTAATCCGCACAGTCACAGTTCTTGGGCGTTGAAAAGGGTAGACCCAGCCGAAACCGCACAGCATTCGCGAAGTGCACAGGGCCTATCCGTCTAGTGGCCTCAATTGGGATCGCAGTCAGCCAGTCCCAGGTGGCGTACCCAGTCAGCGAGAACATCCGCTGCGTGTGGCTAGAGAGAGGGTTCAGCTGCATGTGCCGAGTTGCCTGGACCTGCACAACGTATCTGCTCCCGTGCACCTTCAAGCCGAGCACGTGCTGGAGCCTAACATCCGAACGCTCTAGCCGTTCCTTCTCTAGGATCTCTCGCGCGTCAAGAGGCAGGGCTGCTTCGCACTCCGTGAGCCACGAGTGTAAGGGGGTGTCGTCCTCCCTGGGCGCCAGCATGTGGTTCCTGGCCATCGTCAAAGCGCTTTCTGGTTCTAGCGCGAGGGAGGTGAGGAAAAGCGCCGCCTGGGTAAAGCTCGCGGTGAAACCGTAAATTCCTTCAATAAGCGGATCCGTAATGCGTATGCCGCCCAGCGACGATGGCAACGGCGCCTGTTCCCAGACCCGCTTTTGCTCAGCGCTGCATGTTGGTGCGCAGATGTCGCACGAGGTGAGTAAGGTAATGAGCAAGTCCCTGCCCCACTGGCTCCACGTGGCGCGAGGGAGTAAGTGGAGGGGGGTCGTCCTAATGAGGTAAGCTACCCGCCTGGAAATACACCGAGAGAGGAGCAGTGCGGCCACGTGGGGGTCTGCTCGTTCTAACAGCGGTAACGGCCTCGCCATCTCTCCTAACTGGCCCGATAGAAACCCGGCTGCTCCAGCGTCTGTCCCAACGTAGCTACCTAGAAGCCGCACTCCCTCCTTGGAAAACGGCACCCCGGGCGGGAGATGATGCTGTGCGACTGCGGTTGAACTCCAAGCGGCGCATTTCTGGGGATTATAGGTCAGGCCTAGCTGCGCCAGTTTGGCTGTGAAATGCATGAAGGCAACTACAGTGTGTTCAGTGTCCCCCAGGAAGGTGACATCATCCGCATACGCCAAACAGAGTACGTCGGGGTCTGCTTCTGCAGTGTCACGAAGCGTGGGGTGTATCCCTGCTGCAAAGAGTAACGGGCCGAGTGGGTCCCCCTGCCGCACGCCCCGTTCACTGTGCAATGGGTCGCAGTTGAATTTCGCGTCCAGGAGTAGGTGCGACGGGTTGCCGTAGGTTAGTTTCACAAACGGCTGCAGTGGCGACAGCTTCGGGTCTTGTAACGCTGTGGCTATGGCGTGTCGCGAGATGCTGTTGAAGGCGTTTGAAATGTCGGCTTGCAAAACCAGGCTGTTGGGGCGGGCATCCAGGCATGCCCTGGCTGTGTGGATCACCGTCTCTGCTCCACCTGGCACTGCCACGCCGTACCGTAGTGGCAGGAAATATTCACGGGCAGCTTCTCCCATGGCTGTCAAGGCTGCCTTGGCTGTCAACCTTGTCAAACACTCGCCTATCGCGATTGGCCGAGCCCCCCCCCCAGGTTTGGCCAGGGCTATCAGCCGCGACGCCGTCAGGAGGCTTGCGACCGGGCCTGGCAAATTTCCTCCCAGCAGGGTGTTGACCAAGGCGTGCAGATGGGTGCTGGTCATTGCATTAGTGGTGGCCGCGTCGCGCATGTGCTCAAATGTTGTGCCCGACGGTCCGGCTCCCGCTCCGTTCTCGCATCGCCCCAGAATCTTGGCGAACTCAGCATGGGTGATGGACAGTTTTGACTCGGGTGGCACAGGCCAAGTCAGCGCCCCGTGTACAGCAGGTGGGTGCTTCTGACGAAGCTCCTCCAAAATTTTCGGGCTGGGGGTGCAGACTGGCGTTGACTCCAAGGCCAGCACGGCTCGGCGCAGGCTGCCACGTTTCGCGAGCCCCTCAGCTCGGCTAATGACCCCGCTCGCGTCAGGTTGGTGCCGTGGTGGTGGAGGTGTGTTGACTGCGTCCACCGTGTCCAGGTACAGCCGCTCCCACTCGCCACGCTGAAAGGCTCGGAGCCGAGCCTTGACCCCCGGCCAGTCTGGTCGCTGTGGCGAGGATTGGCGAAGTGTTAAGCGCGGGAGAAACAGCAGCAGGCGCCACCCCATTTCGGATTCAGGGTTTCGTGAGAGGTGTAGTAACGGTGTCAGAAGTGCTTGCGAAAACAGTTGGCACAAATTTGGCGGTAAACGCCGTGACAGTGAAGGCTGTCGACTGTCACAGAGTGCTGCAATGTCCCAGTTCGCGATTGCCGCGAACAAGTCCTCACGCCTCGCCAGCTCGTCAGGCGAAAAGTAGCGGGGGTTCTGGGTGGTTTGGCGCGTCGCGGTATTGGAAGCGGCGGTTCGATTTCGGTGATCGCGGTTCGTCCGTGTTGGCTGAACTGGGGTTGGAATGCCATCCGTTCGATCTGCATCAGACGGTCGCTGATCCGCCTGAGGTACATCCACAGTTACTTGGCCCACCTCGCGTGCTCCTCTCCCTTCTGATTCTCTCACCCTGCCTTCTCCCTCCGACTCATCGTCTTCGCTTGGTGGGAGGGATTCCTCCCTATAAGATGGGTCCCGTAGCTCTTCCTCTTCATTAGTTGCAGCCAAAGTTGTTAAAGCCATTCGCGCCGCTGCCTGGTACCCGTTCTCCGGACCCCCGCCTGTTCCGCTGGAAACCAGCCTCCTACCTCCGCGACCTCCCTGTTCCCCCGATGGTGATTGCCGGAGCGCCTGAGCCGTCGCCAGAGCGCGCTGCCGCCTGGTCGGCTGTCGTCGCCAAGCCTCCGTCGGGGCCCGAAAAGGCGACCATGGCGACGAGACCCCCTGTAATGCCAGCTTCGCGGCCCGTGACAACAGACGCTGAAAGGACTCCTCCCCCCGTACCCGCGGATCCCCTTGGCGTGGGCGGGGCAGGCCCGTCTGCCCCTGTCGCTGCCCCGCCTGCTCCGGCTGTTGCTCCTGTTCTCCCCACCCTCCATGTTGCGCCGATGGGCTCCGCTCCTACTGGGGAGGGTGCTGGTCATCCTGTTCCTGTTCTTGGCGCCCCCGTTCGCTTCTGTCCCCGCGACGTCTCTCGCCAAAGGAGGCGTCCGCCACCACTGGTGGCCCGATCCCGATGGTTGCGCCCCCAACGGTGGACCCGACTGCACCTGCTGTGCCGCCGACGACCCTGGAGGCGCAGCCGTCTCGTCCCCCGTCGCCGGACCGCCGTCAATCTCGCCCCCATTCTCCCGCGCCCCAGCAGGAGCGCGAGTCGTCGCGGCGCTGGCGCAACTCTCCCCGGCGCTACCAGCAACAGGCTCAGTGGCCTGCTCACCGCGGTGGTCGTGGTGGGTGGTGGGGACCCCGCGGACGTAGTGGAGGTGCAGTTTTTGAACCACCGGTGACAATGGCGGATCTACAGCGGGTGGTGTCTGATGCAATTACAGAGGGCGGCACAGAGCCAGGGCAGCTCGATGCGCGCCGCGCCGGCATATGGAGCTCCTCGTCAGGCCCCGCTTCCTGAAACTCGCCCTCAGGCGGCGCCGCGTCCCCTACCTGTTCAAGCACCAGGCGCTCATGCTTCTGCTGCCTCGGCTCCTGCTCCTGCGTCGAGCCTTCAGTTTCCGCCAGTCCCGCCCGTGGCGGGAGTAGAGTTTGTGCCTGCGGGAGCAGGAGCGGCGACGGGGCAGTACCCTCCTCCCGTCGCGGGCGGCTTGGTCTCTCTTCCCGCCGCTGGCTCTCTTCCGTTTCTGGCGGAGGCACTTCAACCCCCGCAGGCCCGCGTTCTTGAGGCCGTTCTTGGCCAGTTGTTTCGTCTGGCTGAGAGCCTTCACGCCGTGCTGCTGATTCAGGTGCTGGCACATTCCTCGCTCCCCGCGATTCCCCCTGACACTTTTGAGGATCGGCCGCGTGATGTGGGCCTGGACACGGCCGACCAGCTCGCGCAGCTCCTGGCACCCGTATTGGCTGCGCCCTCGGAGGGTGGCGTTGCTGCTGCGGGACAGCTCGACAATGCTGTCCGGGGCTTGAGGCGACACTTGCGCTCAGGTTCTGGAGCCGCTGCGATCGGCGCAAGCACGCTTGTGGTCCGGGAGCTGTGGCGCTCTCTGACGGGCGTTCTTCACGCCCTTGGAGCTCACCGCATGTAGTTGCGGGCTCCGGTTGCCCCATTGATGCCATGCTTGTCTAGTTCAGAGTAGGAACCGCCATTGCCTGTATGTCCTTGCTTAGTGCCACTTGCGTGTGTTTGCGCTTGCGGAAGGCGGCCGGCGCGAGCGGAAATTTTTCAGCCGCCAACTGAATAATGAGAATAGGGGGCCAGGAAGGCCTCTTATAGTGCAAAGGAACCGAGTGCAGAGGCTAAGGGCCGAGGGCAGAGGCTATTCCTCTCTCTCTCTCTCTCTCTCTCTCTCTCTCTCTCTCTCTCTCTCTCTCTCTCTCTCGCTCTCTCGAACGAGCGGAAAAATTTCAGCCGCCAACTGAATCGTTAAACATGATGTCACACTTGAATTCGCAATCGTTATATCATCTCTCTCTCCCACACACACACACAGATTCTCTCTCTCTCTCTCTCTCTCTCTCTCTCTCTCTCGTTCTCTGTTTCATTTTCTCTCTCTATGTGGTTCGTAAGTCGTGTTTTCTTGATTCCAACTTTATTCATTGATGTTCAGGTGTGTATCTGCTGATTCATACACATTCATTATCTTTTTTGTTGTCTTCAATTTCTTGATTGTTTTCATTTGTGATTTCATAATAAATTTCTCATTTTACCCATTCTATTTCACGTTTCTCTCCCTGTTTTTTCCTCAGAGGCTTTGCTGTATCCTTCAACAAGTCAACGTTAATTTGGAATATCAAATTGGTTGATGATGCGTAGGATAATTGTATTGTTTTGATAAATCTTCTTGCATGTTTTCTGTTCGTTTCGTTCGCGTTTTGAGGTTTGTGTGCGTACGTGTGTGGTTGTGTTTGCATGTTTGTCTGTGTGTACGTGCATCCATGTCCATCGATAATTGCATCAACAATGCATGTATGTGGGTCAGGCCCTCAGATTCACTTTTAGGGGCGTAGATGCACCAGGGTCCCTGATGAAAAAAAGGCTGATTTTCAGTGTCCCTAATAAAACAATGCCTGATTTCTCAGAGTTCATAAAGGAAAAACTCCGATTTTCACCAACATGGATACCTTGTTCACGATTCAGCCCTCGCCAATTGTGCAGCCTAAGGGAATCGAACCCCAAAAATTGCCCTTCGCCAGTGGTTTATCGAACAACTCCGACACTCCGAGCAGTCTGGAGGCGGTTTGTAATTTACACAAACTTAGATCTGATCATCTCGAGCGTTTTTCAAGAATGATTACGAATGTGCATTCAGTGTACACTTTGACACAAGGCTGAAAACTCAGTGTTAACTATGAAATGAAGCCTGAAAAAACAGTCTCACAAAAATCTACACACTAAAAAATCAGTGTAGGTAAACAAAAATAGGCTGAAAATGAGGAATTTCAGGGGAAAAATCCTGATATCGTAGGGCCTGATGTGAGTTTTAAAAAGGTGAAACAGGTCCATCATTTCATCAGAATGTTCATTGCCGCGCCTGTCGAGAGTGTTGAGTGCAATACACAGTTTGCATGACAACCTACCGCCTATTCGTCGTTGTTGAGTGAAAGTGAGGGTTTTCATTTCAAGGTAATTTGTTCTCTGTGCTTTGCGTTTCTGTGCTTACTGTTCATGAATCGCCTTGACGGTCCATGGGTTGTGTGCATTGTCGTGTAAGGTTGCATATGTGAGTGTTCGTGAATGTCCGTAAGTGATTACGAGACTTCGTGTGTATTTGCGTTGGTTCGCGAGTTGTCATGAGCGTGTGTTGATTTTATGTTCGTGAATTTCCGTGATGTTCGTGCGTTGCTCATGAATGTTTATGAGCGTTTGTGTCTGTTTTCGTTTTCCTGTTTTCGTTTGTGTTCGTGAAGAGTCGCGGGTGTTCGCGAGTTAATTTCGTGGTGGTCAAGGTCAAAATGCGCGAGAATCTTGACCGCGTGTTTGGTCTAGATTCTGCGCGTGGGCCCTCAGGGCTCGAGCGTGTGGCTCGCAATTGTCGTGAGCGTGTGGCAGTGCACTGTTGCGCGAGGGCACAAGGCCCATGATCGCAACAGACAGTGCACGTTCGTGCACTGTAAAGCACGACCGAAATATCGGTCGTGCTATGATTGCACCGGCAGGGGCGCGCGTGTGTTTCGGGGGGTGCTGCGGGATTTCGAGGAGTGTTCAGGTTTGACTCGGGTTTGACTCAAGATTTCAGTTTGGTAACTGAATCTCGAGTCTCGTCATTTTCTGTGCGTGGCACACAGAAACTTCGCGGGAAAGCAGCGCGCGTAAAAGGACAATTTTGATACAGGGAAAACGGTGAAAAATCGTGAAGTAACTGTAAGGCTTCGTGGAAAACGGCGAGAAACCGTTTTGTAACTGTGAACGTTCGTGATAACGGTAATCCCACACGAATGCTCATGATTACGCGTGGGAAATCATGAATGTTCGCGAAGACAGTCAGTAGGGGAATTTGGCAGGAGTGCAGCTTGAAGTCAGTTATTTCCACAAGGCGAATCAAGCCAAATTCAAGCGCAGTTTTGTAACCATTTTTCAAGGGCAGCAAGGAGAAGTCATGAAGTCAAGTTAAACAACTGCTCAGTGCTTTCTCTATGCTTGTGTGTTAGACGAAATATAAATGCGTGCTTGTGCCTGGTTGTATCCATCCTTTGAGTGAATATTTTGCTCTATCATCGTATTGACGTGAAGAGCGATTCTACACACGAGCCATTCGTCGTCCCAACGCTGCGCAGGGATTCTTGGGAGTGCTCTAGTGCACACCGTTGTCTTCACACTTAGTGCGTCCCTCTACAAAACACGGACCCTTGGTTAGGGGCTGGCTTTGCCAGGCACCCGAGGACCCTTAGAGGTGACCCCGTGGGGACTAACTAGTGTGAATTAAAGGACGTGCATAGAGGTCATAGATCTGTCAGAATCCCAACCACTAGACCATTGGGATAAAAGGGCTTGTTTCAGTAGCGGGTCAGTGCGCCCATAACCCCCCAGGCGAACGCGCCTGTAACCCTCTCCAGGATCAATCGGGCATCCACAGTGCAGATCTACTGACACCCCCCCACACTGGGAGGCCCAGGACTAAGCACAGCGGCAACGGCCTACATGTGCATACACCGGGAATCGAACCCGAGACCGCTCTAATACCATGTCAGAATCCCAAACACTAGACCATTGGGATAGAAGGGTTTGTTTCAGTAACGGGTCAGTGCGCCCATAACCCCCCAGGCGAACGCGCCTGTAACCCTCTCCAGGATCAATCGGGCATCCACAGTGCAGATCTACTGACAAGATCTTATTAGTAGTAATAGAGAGCCCACGCGAACTGGATTTGATAGAGTTGACCATCTGTTTAGAGTTTACAGATTGTGTTGTTTTGTGTGGATTTTCATTGTTGAAATATTATGCGATTAGCTCCCCCCCACGCTGCACAGGGATTCTTGGGAGTGCTCTAGTGCACACCGTTGTCTTCACACTTAGTGCGTCCCTCTACAAAAACACGGACCCTTGGTTAGGGGCTGGCTTTGCCAGGCACCCGAGGACCCTTGGAGGTGACCCCGTGGGGACTAACTAGTGTGAATTAAAGGACGTGCATAGAGGTCATAGATCTTATTAGTAGTAACAGAGAGCCCACGCGAACTGGATTTGATAGAGTTGACCATCTGTTTAGAGTTAACAGATTGTGTTGTTTTGTGTGAATTTTCATTGTTTAAATATTATGCGATTAGCTCCCCCCCATGCTGGGCATGGGATTGTCAGAGGTCCACTGGTGATCCCCGATTGATCCTAGGGAAGGGTTACAGGCACGTTGGCCTGGGGGGTTATGGGCGCACTGACCCGCTACACAAAAAAAGCCCTTTTATCCCAATGGTCTAGTGGTTGGGATTCTGACATGGTATCGGAGCGAAGGTCTCGGGTTCGAATCCCAGTGTATGCACTTCGGGCATCCCAGTGCGGGGGGGTGTCAGAGGTCCACTGGTGATCCCCGATTGATCCTAGGGAAGGGTTACAGGCACGTTGGCCTGGGGGGTTATGGGCGCACTGACCTGCTACACAAAAAAAGCCCTTTTATCCCAATGGTCTAGTGGTTGGGATTCTGACAGGGATGGGGTAGCATAATTTTTGTGTTGTTAGCTTTCACACATTTAAATCATTATGAATATGCATCATGCATTCTCAATAATTATCATTATTCATATCGAACTTAAGGCATGCATTTTCTATTCATCATATTATATATTATACAATATACCATATTTCATGTAATATAATTCTATTCATCTACATTCACCAATCACCATATTCATCTGTTCATATCAAAAACAAATTATCCAGTGGAAAATTAAAAACATAATAAATCACAGAACCAACCTAGTTATAGAAGAAAACACTACCACCACGTTAGTATAATTGATCTAGATAAGACCTCATAAAGATTACGTAGGTAGCATTTGGTGCTTCCATTTCTTTTCAAACATGAAAACCAAACCAGCCAAATCGATCGTAATAGGTTGCTTCGCAAAAAAAAAAAAAAAAAAAAAAAAAAAAAAAAACAGTTCGATACTCGACCACGTTCAAAAGCACATTTTATTACCCCAGATCAGCCGATCAACCGACATTCTTTATAGTTCGGCCTAGGCCTGGCCAGACCAAGGATCCGTCAAACCAGCCGACAGCTGGGGAAATATACCCATCGCATTTCCAATCTAGCGGCCATTCGTAGAGGGCCTGCACCGCAATGCATTTCGACCGCGTTGCGGCAACAAGCTACAGTACATAGCCAGCCTACAACACTCTTTCGCTATCGACTTTTGTGTGTGGCTACAAATCTCGTGTATGCACAAATGTTTACCCTAGTTCACCTTAGTTCACCTTTCTTCATGTGGTATCGTTCCAATTGAAGCATTCCTCAACCACAACCACCTTCGGCTATTATGGTAAGAGTAGCCTTGCTCTCCTCGTCTCCCATAGCGCCTACTCTAATCTCCAAAGGTTATCGCTTCTGCAGCTCCTCCAAGGCCGCAATTTTCCATTGCCTCGTTCTCGCTTGTG